ACAGTGAGCACAGTTGGCGCGGGGGGCTGGGGATGTATCTTTTTCTCGTCCCCATGGAACGGTGGTATTGCTCATTGACAAGGCTGGGGATCGAAATAGTCGCGCCGACAGATGCGTGGACCTGGAGGTTGGGTGTTGACGGATGCGGGTTGGCAAAGGTAGGAATGATGATGCTGCTCATACTTAGTGTGTTCGTGGCAAACAAAGGTGGGAGGGAGGCTGGTAGATGTGGAATGCTGATTAGCTCAGCGTCGACGACAATGGAAGGGATTGACTTTTTTTTCGTCAAAACAATACTGGATACCATAATGATCAGTTTTATCGCATCTGTTTGCGTCTTTGCGATACGTTTGTGCTTGTTGGGCGTTTTGCTATGCCGGGGCATACGGCGCTGCGGGCTCCACAACCGGGCCGTGGTCGGAGCGGAGGTCGGGGCTCCGCGATATAGAGTCACGGGGTCAGCAGCGAGGCGTGGTGTGCTCTGGAGCCATCAAGATACCCCTTAGAGGTGCCTCGCGCTGGACTGCCACTTGGCATCACTGTGCTGAAGCCCGCGCCCTTGCTACCCTCATCGCGAATGGCTTGCTACCCTCATCGTGAATGACTTCGTTTTCCCTTTTAAAGTGGAAAGGGGCTGCCGGCTGGCTGCTACAAAGCGCCGCACATGATGCTGGCATGGGACTGTATGACCCCCATGAGGTTTGTTTGCGCTTCCCGACTGGAGATGGGGACATGGACGCCGCCATGGCGGTGATACTGTGCAGGCATGTACCAGGGCAAAGATGAAGATCGCCGTCTGCTGCACGACATCTATCGAGGAGGTCAGCCAGGCGTCCTTAATAGGGGAGCCAGGACAAAAGGAGCCTCTGCCGCCGAACATGGCGCGAGCCCGCCCGCGGTGCGTCTTCTCTCCGAGCGACGCAGCCCGCGTCAATCTTCCGATCTGGCCAAGTCTCAAATGACCGACGCGGGATAAATCGATCGACCCTGAATCTCTCACAGAGCGGTGAGGGAAACAGAACAAAAAAGAGGCTTCGCGATTCCCAAACGACAGAAGACTTTCCTTGAGCCGAACACCACACGTGCTTCTTTTAGTTTGGCGGGCAATCTCCCCAATCTCCCCAATCCTTCCAGAAGCCCGCGCCGTCTCTCAATGCGAAACGAGGGCCGCCCCCCCTTTCTCAAGAAGAGAAGAAACGGGCACGAGAGGACCAACGCCCAATGTCCGCTTCGTATCGCCTCCCCCACATTCAAGGACGCACAGGGGTGGGTAGGGATTCTCCCGTCGCCAAGGGTCCCCCCCTGAACAGAGGCCCCGTACCGCACAGGACCAACAACCTACTGAGTCCCACCCTGGGCGTCGTCCACCGACACCTTCATTTCGGCACGGCGATCGGTTTTCGTTTGCGACTCCGGCCGAGAGACGAAGGGGGACCCTGCACGTTTGACGGGGATTTTTGTTGTCCCTGGCCATCTCTTCAAACATGTCCTGTCCGCCAGGACGCCAAGAGCAGGATGGATCGTCTGCAAGCGAAAGAGGCGTGCAGGCTGGCATGGCGTGGTTTGAGAAGCACAGGGTCGACAGGTCACTCATGATTATTCCCCTAGTATCCGACCGGCCGGCCGACTCTCACCGAGAAGCGGATCTCATCTGGCGCGCCCCCCCTATTCAAGTCATTTTCTTTCTTTCTTTCCAGATTGGCATGACAGAAGGCGGCTGTTCTGCCATGTGGATAGGAAACACGGCTCACGGACGGGCACAACGCCATTGCACGTTATGCACAGACACTTGTGCCAATAAATCCCCGTTGGCGGCGTGTCGTGTGGATATGACAGGACCGGCCGTTGGTCAATTTTTTTTTTCCCTCTCTCTTGCTTTCCGTGCCTTGCCCTTCACGTAAGAGAAACGAGAGGGAGAAAGAGAGGGGAGGCAGAAAAATCAAACCCAAGACCGAACACGGGACGCCTTGGTCGTCGAGGGGGTCCTGCAACCGTCGGTCTGAACAGGTAATAATGAAAATGACATATGATCTCCCGCCTGAGCCCGGGCCGCTAGATGGCCATCGTGAGGTGCGCCGGCCGGCGTTATGTTAGGGGAGCCACTCTTCTTCTCTTGTCACTGAGCACAGTGGAAAGAGAACGGCCGATGCGAAAGAGCAGCTGCTCCGTGACACCAAAAGCACCGACCCCGTACCACGGTCAACAAGCTTAATACCAAGTTGGATCTCTGTGCCCGTGGAGGCCTGTCAGGCATCGCGGCGCAAGGAACTGCAAGCCCCCAGAGAGAGAGAGCGGCAAGATGAAAAGTACAGAAGCCTGTGCGGTGGACGCTGCTCTGCACTAGCCCGATGAACCAGCCCCGGTAGCAGAGCCGATCAGGAACGATCGCAACATGAAGCAAAGTAACACACGCACAGCCAGCAGCAGCAGGAGCAGCAGCAGGAGCAGCAGCACCATGATGACCATGACGATGCCGCGTCTGACAACACCATTTGCAAAACAACTCGATATGACACACACAAGCCTGCCTACTCATGATCTGTCTCATGTCCTTGAGGTTCCCGTTTCCCAGCCAAAATCTGCGAACCGGTTCAAAAAAGAGCCTCTCCCGGCCCTCCCTACATATGGCGTTGAGACAAGTAAACGCATCTTTCTGCGCGCGCCGCCCGCCTCCTCGCCCCGCGACGAGACAACGCTGGCACCCAGAAGAAAAAAAAAAAAGAACAAGGCTGCTTCATATCTATGAATAAGGCCCCACCGTTAGCATCGGGAATGCTGTCAGGTAGACAATGTCCGCATGCACATGCACACATCCAAACGTAGATGGACACAACACAATGGCCAGGGGAGGCATCGAGCACCAAACCAACACCTGTCTCTGTCGCCTGGGGAAACGAGACGACAGCCACCGATAGTCGAAATGAAGACAAGACGGGCGCTGCGCATTTCAGTCATCTGGCGTGCCGAGCCCGTCACCACACACCCTGGGCACTCCATCGGCAATGTCACCTCGCAGGCGACAGACAGACAGACGTGCCGCGTGCGGCAGGCAGGCAGCGCGCGCAGTCAGTGCACACATCTCACCGTGCGGTACCGCGTCCGGCCTGGCCCTCCCCCCAGGTTGGGGTAAGGGAAGCTCGGTGTTCCCCAGCCAGGAGCCATGTTCCTGCATCGTGCAGCCTCCAGAATGTCATGCTGCATTGTGTATTGGGGTCCAAATCGAAAACCCGTGAAGCAGGTTATGCCAGTGTAACGTCAGAACCGCAGGCGGCCCGTCTTGCGTGCCAAACGCTTACCATGACACCCGTGGCGTTCGGAA